GAACACAAGTTATTGTCTAGAAAAATGCTTATTTTTGGCCCCTTATTCCTAAACGTTTTGGGCAATTACCCCCAAACTCAATTCCAGCTTTCCCTTTGTGATATGGAACCTTGTAGTACAATTTCAGAAAGATCCATAGACTAACACACAAGTTATTGTCATGAAACTAGAAAAATGCTTGTTTTTTGCCCCTTTTTTTGCCCCTAATTCCTAAAATTTGGAGGCAATTAACCCCAAAATCAATCCCAGCATTCCCTTTGTGATATGGAACCTTGTGGTACAATGTCAGAGAGATACATACACTAACACACAAGTTATGTCTGGAAGTTACAAAAATGCTTATTTTTGGCCCCTTTTTGGCCCCTAATTCCTAAACTGTTGGTACCATAACCCCCAAAATCAATCCCAACCTTTCTTTTGTGGTATTGAACCTTATGGTAAAATTTCATAGAGATCCATTCTTTTTAACTAAAGTTAGAGTGCGAAAAACCAATGTGTCTTCGGACGACGACAACAACAACGACGCCGGACGACGACAACGATGACGACGACAACGTCATACCAGCCTTCCCTTTGTGGTATGGTACCTTGCAGTACAATTTCAGAGAGATCCATACACTTGAACACAAGTTATTGTCTGGAAACTAGAAAAATGCTTGGTTTTTTTTCCACTTTTGGCCCCAAATTCCTAAACGTTTAGGGCAATTACCCCCAAACTCAAACCCAGCTTTCCCTTTGTGATATGGAACCTTGTAGTACAATTTCATAAAGATCAATACCTTTAAACACAGGTTATTGTCCTGAAACTAGAAAAATGCTTGTTTTTTTGCCCCTTTTGGCCCCTAATTCCTAAAGTTTTGAGGCAATTACCCCCAAAATCAATCTGAGCCTTTCCTTTGTGGCATGGTACCTTGCAGTACAATTTCAGAGAGATCCATACACTTGAACACAAGTTATTGTCTAGAAAAATGCTTATTTTTGGCCCCTTATTCCTAAACGTTTTGGGCAATTACCCCCAAACTCAATTCCAGCTTTCCCTTTGTGATATGGAACCTTGTAGTACAATTTCAGAAAGATCCATAGACTAACACACAAGTTATTGTCATGAAACTAGAAAAATGCTTGTTTTTTGCCCCTTTTTTTGCCCTTTCTTTTGTGGTATTGAACCTTATGGTAAAATTTCATAGAGATCCATTCTTTTTAACTAAAGTTAGAGTGCGAAAAACCAATGTGTCTTCGGACGACGACAACAACAACGACGCCGGACGACGACAACGATGACGACGACAACGTCATACCAATATACGACTACAAAATTTTTTTTGTGGTCGTATAAAAAGAAGGGGGTGGGGGTGACCCTCATTGACTTCCCCTATATTTTCATTTGATTTGTGTTATTGTCCAATACAAGAATATATATGGTTTAGGGGTGGGGATTTCGACCGTTTACAAGTACTCAAACAGGAGGGGGTTGGGGTGACCCCAGGGGACTCACCTTTTACTTCATTTGATTAGTTTTATTGTCCCATACAGGAATATATATGGTTTTAGGGTGGGGATCTTGACCATTTACAAGTTTTCAAAAAGAAGGGGGGTGGGGGTTACCCCAGGGGACTTCCCCTCAAATTCATTTGATTTGTTTTAATGTCCCATTCAAGAATATATATGGTTCAGGGGTAGGGATCTCGACCGTTTACAAGTTATCAAAAAAAAGGGGGTGGGGGTTACCCCATGGACTTCCCCAATATTTCATTTGATTTGTTTTATTGACCTATACAAGAATATATATGGTTCAGGGGTAACAAAACACCAAAATAATTCTCTAAAATTAGAAATGACTTAACCACTCATAAATCTCTAAAATTAGATATGATTTTATATCTATCAATTAAACACATCACTTTTCAAAACAAATAACTCAAACTTATTTACATAAACCAATAAAAAACCAGCAAAATACTTCTCTAAAATCAGATATCATGTTATATCTATTTCCATATTATAATCAAATTTAATTAATAGTTGCTAATATTGTTTCTTTCATGTGTCAAAAAATAATACAGATCTGCAACTTATCTATCAATGTCAAAAACTTTATCTCATAATAAAAATAGATTATCATCTAATTAAAAACAAGTTTAGATTCAGCACTTAAAGAACCCTATATATATTTAATTTATGTTCAAATATAACACACACAAACTGATTAATTTTCCCAGGGGACCTGCCCTTTATTTCATATGATTTGTTTTTTTGTCCCATACAAGGATATATATGGTTTAGAGGCAGGGATCTCAACCATTTACAAGTTCTTAAACAGGAAGAAGGTGGGAATGACCCAAAGGAACTCACCTTTTATTTTATTTCATTTGTTTTATTGTAACATAAAAGAATATATATGGTTTCTCCGTGGGGATCTTGACCATTTACAAGTTTTCAAAAAAATTCGTAAGGGTTCCGCAGAACCCAGTGTCTCGCCTTCTTTTGCTGTTAATCGCAGGCTCAACAAAAATGAGAAAAAAAATTAATAAAAATATTCCTCTCTACACTATCATTTGAATGTAAGTAGCTTCTGTCCAAGTTTGGTAAAAATCCAGGATAATTTATGAATCTAATAAATGTTTTAAAAACTTAAACTGCAGACTGTATGTAATGTTGACTGGAAGAAAAACAAAGTCCATTTATAAGTAAAATACGGAAAAAATGGAACAAAATTTTATCAAAATTTCCTTCTAGATACTAGCTTTTGATCATAAACAAGCTTCTGTCCAAGTGTGGTACAAATCCAGGATAGTTTAAGAAAGTTGTTAAAATCTTAAAAACTTTAACCACAGAGTGAATGTAATGTTAACTGGCAGAAAAACTAAGTCCATTTATAAGTAAAATACGAAAAAAATGGAATTTTTTTTTTACAAAATTTACTTCTGGATACTATCTTATGATCATAAACAAGCTTCTTTCCAAGTTTGGTAGAAATCCAGGATAGTTTAAGAAAGTTATTAAAATTTGAAAAACTGTAACCACAGAGTGAATGTAATGTTTCCTGGCAGAAAAACTAAGTCCATTTATAAGTAAAATACGAAAAAAATGGAATTTTTTTTTTACAAAATTTACTTCTGGATACTATCTTATGATCATAAACAAGCTTCTTTCCAAGTTTGGTAGAAATCCAGGATAGTTTAAGAAAGTTATTAAAATTTGAAAAACTGTAACCACAGAGTGAATGTAATGTTTCCTGGCAGAAAAACTAAGTCCATTTATAAGTAAAATACGGAAAAAATGGATTTTTTTTTTTACAAAATTTACTTTTGAATATAATCTTATGATCATAAACAATCTTCTGTCCAAGTTTGGTAGAAATCCAGGATAGTTTAAGAAAGTTATTAAAATTTCAAAAACTTTAACCACAGAGTGAATATTTGTGGACGCCGCCGACGCCGAAGGAATGTAGGATCGCTATGTCTCGCTTTTTCGACAAAAGTCGAAGGCTCGACAAAAAAGGAGAGTAGGGGGTTACCCCAGGGAACTTCCCCTAAATTTAATTTGCTTTAATTTATTGTCCCATACAAGTACATATATGGTTTAGGGGTGGGGATCTCAACCATTTTCAAGTTTTCAAAAAGAAGGGGGTAGGATTTACCCCTGTGGACTTCCCCTATATTTCATTTGATTTGATATATTGTCCCATACAAGAATATATATGGTTTCTGGTTGGGAATCTTGACCGTTTACAAGTTATCAAAAAAAAGGGGGGTAGGGGTTACCCCAATGGACTTCCCCTATATTTCAATCAGAAAACAGAAAATTTTCAAATAAATCTGTCACTCCAATGATTATGATATGCTAAAATATTTCAAAGATCTAATTAATAATGAAAATAAATCATTATCATATGCTGAAATATTTATAATATCTAATTGAACAGAACTATGGTTGTTTAACATAGTACTCTAACATAATTAATAATGTAATAATCTTCAAAATGTCTAATGATATAGCTTATAATCATAACCACTTAGGAAATAGATAATTTTCAAATAAATCTGTCACTCCAATTTTTATTCTGAGATAAGACAAATCATAACATGATAACAACAGTAAAATATTTTTCTACTTTTGGATATTAAAAATGGCCATAACTCACAAAGGAGATATACTAAAATCTTGAAAATTTATAGAGACCTTCATTAAGTCCCAGGAAACAACATATTTAAATTTGAAAAAAATTTGTTAAAGCGTTTTCATGTTATTGTGCGGACGCTGTTTGGCAGCCGCCAGAGCCGCCCAGCTGCCCACCGTATATAACCATTTTAATAACCGATATTTCCTTCGAAAATCCAGTTAAAAATGGTTCCATTTTATAGAGATCCATATACTTAACTCAAGTTATTCTCTGGAAACCAGAAATTCCAAATTGCCAAACATGACAAGTCCTTGGACTTGCTTTCATAAATTCTTAATGAGAACCCTGGCCCTTGTAAGAATGATTGTTGACCAATATCTAGTCAGTGTAGATACTATCAAACCTGCAGCTTAAGTTGTCATTAATTAACTTGTCAGTGTTCTCCTTCAATCATAAACAGTTCCTTAAACCTTTTGTATAATGTATAAACAGAAAAGCATGTATATCTGCTTTTTTTAAAAGTTTTTTTTTTTTAAATATTAAAGGATCATATTTTATAAAACTATGCATGTGGTATAAAGACTGTCATGGAAAGTCATTATATTTGTGAACATAGGAATACATAGAAAATTTTACATGTTCTCTAATTTTTTTATAGAAAGACAAATGTATGGACATGTATGTTTGGTCCTCAATGCTCTTCAACTTCGTTCTTTATTTGGCCTTTCTAACTTTTTTAGATTTCAGCATCACTGATGAGTCTTTTGTTGATGAAACATGCATCTGGCAGAAATACAAAATTTCAATCCTGGTATCTATGATGAGTACCAACATGATAATCAGGATAATTATATTTCTTTATAAATAAAGATTGTACCTTCGTGTTTAAGTGTATATGTAATCTTATCTCTAGTACATTTCATCTTTCTCAAATCAAATTCCCAAAGCTGATTTTCTTCATCTTTTACTTTGACAACTTGTTCACCTTCAAAAGCTGATCCAGATAAGTTAAGTCTTTTACAAATATGATCATTAAACTGGATTTTTGCTTTCATTGTATCCACATAATACCAAACCTACAAGAAGACCAAAACCATGTCTTAACATGTGTGGCACAGCGATTGATGTTCTGGAGAACAATATTTCATGCCATAAAGATTGGAAAATTCTCAAGTGTATGATTTCATCAATTTTCATAGTTTCAAAATATCTAAATGCATAAAAATGGTAGTTCCTATGGTAGTTTAAAAATTTCAAAACTAGAATAAAACAAAAGGTTCCAAAGAGCAAGTATTGCTCCTCTGGTATTTTAACAAAATAACTTGATACAGTGCAACAGGAATTTAACTTACTTTTAATCTTGTCTGGCTGATCATAGTTGCTGTTTAAAGTATCTCTCTATGTATTGTAGTGTTCAAGATTATAAAGAAAAAAACAAAACAGGTAAAATTTGTGATTTCAAAAAATGAAAAATGAAGTCAACTGACAATTACAGCAATGTTGATTAATTTGTAGATTATATATATGGCTTGTAATCATTTTTACTGTTCAAAATTTCATTCTTTCAATTTTACTTTTTCAAGATTTTAATTTACAACCTACAAAAACAGACGCTTTAAGGAGCTTTTATTGTACCTTTGGCTGTTTTCTTTTTTGCACAATATCAAGAAGTCTCTTCCTCGTTCTCATAACATCATTGCTGTTCCCTGTTATCACTAAATATTGTTGCTTATCTTTGCCTTGAAGAAATACTTTCTTCCAAGGTGGAAGTTGTTTTTGTCGAAAAATTGAAGAAGCTGTGGAAACAAAATTACATTAAGTTATTGATGGAAGTATAAGACAAATTTAATAATCATAAACTGTTATCACAGAGATATGTCTCGCCTTTTTGTAATTTTGATAATGCAAATGTTGAAATTAAAATAGCAATACTTTAACATGTAAGTTATGCAAATATTTAAAGTTTATGAACCATGACTGAAGGTACATGGCTAAACAATCTCCATGGAATGAGATGTGCCAATGCTAATACAATTGCATACCAAATACCATTGACTTATTATAAGTCATTCCCTTTAAACAAACCTAAACACAAACATTAACTTGTAAACTATGTAAAAGTTTCAAAGTCAATGAACCATGATCAGGGGTGGGGCTATATAATCTCCATCGAAACAATACTTTCAAATGCCAATAAATTTGCATACCAAATATCATTGACTTAACATTAGCAGTTCATCTTTAACTGATCTAATCACAAACAAATACATGTAAAGTAAGCAAAAGTTTCAAAGTAAATAGACCATGACTGAGGGGGCGGGGCCAAATATTCTCCATGGAAATGAGATGTGCTAATGCTTATACAACTGAACACCAATTAACATTGGCCTACCACTAATGGTTCCCCTTGAACTGACCTAATCACAAACTAATACATGTTAACTTAGCAAAATTTTCAAAGTCTATAGACCATGACTAAGGGGGCGGAGCCAAATAATCTCCATGGAAATGAGATATGCCAATGCTTATACAACTGCATACCAAATATCATTGACCTACCACTAGTGGTTCCCCATAAATTGACCTACCCGGTAATCACAAACTAGTACATGTAGACTATGAAAAGTTTCAAAGTCAATAGACCTTGACTGAGGGGGTGGGGCCAAATAATCTCCATGGTAATGAGATGTGCCAATGGTAATACAACTCCATACCAAATATCATTGACCTACCACTAGTTGTTCACCATGAACTAGACCTAATCACAAACTAATACATTGTTGACGCCACCGCCGCCTTCGCCGACGCCGAAAACAGCATACCTGTTCTCGCTTTTTGACTCCGTCAAGGCGAGACAATAAAACTACAGTATTTAAACTGATTTCTTTTATTTGTAATTTACTCATGATATGATATGTCAAATTAAGTAAGGGTTTTATGTTATGATCAATAAGCTCTATGGAGTCTAAAAACTCACAAATGTCTTTTATGGTAGCACTACAGTCAGAATTTTCTGACTCCAACCAATAGTCTTTAAAGATTAATTTCTCCAAAACTACTCAATGGATTTTTAAAATCTTTAACTCATTTTAAAGCTGAAATATCACTCTTTCTTAATCCATAGATAAATTTATTTTTGGTATGATAAATCTCAAAATATAGCTCATTAATTGCCAAAAAAGTAGTCTTCCAACTTGGATGGAAATGGCACATTCAGGTCAAATGGTAGTAAAAATTTGTTTTCATCCCTTTAATGAACCATATACAAACTGCAAAACCGTGTCTCAGATTTTTTATATATGCCTCCAGTAAGAAGATATATTGATTTAACTGCTGGGTGCCAAACCTCATTTCACCTTTCATCTTTGGAGACCTATAAATTCATTTAGAAACAAATTATCCAAAAACTGGTATACGGTATTGTAGAAAATACTCCCTTCACATATATCAAAGTCAAGCCAAAGGGGGTACCCATAAAGTTTATATTTTCATTTTTTCCTAACAAATCTAATGAAAAATTATTCTGAGAAATTACCTAAAAATTCGTAAGGGTTCCGCGGAACCCAGTGTCTCGCCTACTTTTTCTGTTAATCGCAGGCTCAACAAAAATGAGGAAGTAAATCAATAAAAATATTCCTCTTGATACTATCTTTTGATTGTAAGAAGCTTCTGTCCAAGTTTGGTAAAAATCCAGGATAGTTTATGAATCTAATAAATGTTTAAAAACTTAAACTGCAGACTGAATGTAATGTTAACTGGAAGAAAACAAAATTTCCTTTGATACTAGCTTTTGATCATAAACAAGCTTCTGTCCAAGTTTGGTATAAATCCAAAATAGTATAAGAAAGACATTAAAATTTTAAAAACTTTAACCACAGAGTGAATGTAATATTTCCCGGCAGAAAAACTAAGTCCATATATAAGTAAAATAGGGAAAAAATGGAATTTTATTGTTACAAAATTTACTTCTGCATACTATCTTATGATCATAAACAAGCTTCTGTCCAAGTTTGGTAGAAATCCAGGATAGTTTAAGAAAGTTATTAAAATTTCAAAAACTTTAACCACAGAGTGAATATTTGTGGACGCTGCCGACGGAATGTAGAATGGCTATGTCTCGCTTTTTTCGACTAAAGTCGAAGGCTCGACAAAAACGGAATTTCCCCCTTAAAACCCCTAAAAATGCAACATAAATACAAAAATTCCACTGGGATAACCCTAGGAGTGTTCTGACACCGTTACTTTATCAATAGAACCACACACTTTGTCTCTTTGATGCTCTAATGCTGTAAATTTTGCATTATGTGTGGCACTGTGCAACTCTAACTTGGCATTTGGCGGGAGTTTGACGTCACAGATTTGACCAATATCTGTGATGTAGTAATTAAATATAGACAAAGCTCCGCCTCTGTCCAGACAGTCTAAGATAAGAGAATAACAGGATTGACCAGCTGCATATAATCAATATTTAACATCATTATTCTCACTATAAAGAATAATTTTCATTTGTATTTTAAAAAGAAGTATACTATTACTGAAATTAGCTAGAACATTAAAATTGTGCATCAAAAGACATGTTCATAAAAAGATCCAAGACCATCCACTTCTTTAAAAAAAGACACTCCCACATGATTTTTGAGTTTTATGGAATTGAAAAATTTCACATAAACTTAAAATTGGTTAAAATGCCTAAAACTGTATTTAAATGTAGAAGACCAAATAGAAGAAATTTATACAGGCAGTCAGAGGCTTTCAAAGATACTTTCACACTCTTTTCCATATATTTTTTTTCATTTTTGTAGATTTCTTCCTTTTAGATTTTTTCCTTTTCATAGCTTTTTCTTTTTCTCTGTTTATAAACATGTTATATAAATTACTTTTGTTGCAATACAATGAGATAAGACCACAATATTTATCTTGTGGTCAGGGATTAACAGCTGGACACTGGTATCAACAGATGATTGACATATTAGCCCCTCCGAAATGCCTATATATTTAGAACCCAGGCAAAAAGTGCCATGTGACCTCCATTTTGGAATGTTGACAGTTTTCGGACCTGCTCAGATTTCAAGGTTCATGCTTCATATATTACAGCACTAATGAAACAACACCTTTACTACTTTGTTCCAAACATTTTCCTATATCAATATCACACTTGTTGGAGCACATCAAACTGTACTGGCAATTCTGATGACAAAACAATATTTCTCCACATCTTGACAACTCAGTTGCAAACTATTTTTCTGGTAGGTTGTTTTTGAGAACAAACAATACTTTATATTTTTCCTGGCATATCATAAATATTTCTCCATAAAATCATCAAAGAGGAATAATTGAAATCAACATGAAAATTCTAAGGTTCCTGCAATTTTATTAGTATGACCCTTTAGTAGGAAAACAGACAACTATGGCAAGCCATTTTACTATTCATTCTAACTTCAAGATATTTCATAAACTTTATAAGATATCTTATATAATTTATGAGATATAGTATATAGTTTATGAGATATCTTCTATAGTTTATAAGATATCTCAAATAATTTTCTTTATAAAAGAGGGACGAAAGATACCAGAGGGACAGTCAAACTCATAGATCGAAAACAAACTAAGATATCTTATATATTATATGAGATATCTTGAAATTTGAATAAATAGTAAAACGGCTTGCCATAGACAACCCTTGTCAATTAAGATTGAAGTAGATGCAGCTGCCACTGGCAAGAAGATCTTACAACATCCTATCGGGGGTCATATTTTAGTTGCAATAGAGTCATGAAAATTACTCAAAGAATATTCAGAGAAACAACTGAGTCAACTATATTTTTAGCATATATTTTCCATAATACTTTAAAAGCTGGTTTCCAAATGGGTGGACAGTTAGTGATAGACTGGTAAAGTAAAAGTAATAAATGGGGAATGTGTCCATGAGACACAGATGATGCCCCCGCTTGCATATCATATAAAGTTATAAAAGGACATAATTAAAGAATGATTAAAGTGATGCTACCCAAATTTGTAATTGATCTGAGTTTTGTGGTAAAAAGTATTGTGTATAAGTTTCATAAAATTCGGTTGAGGCAAGCTTAAGTTAGAGAACAGAAACGAAAAATTCAGAAATTTTTCCATTTGTAAAGGGGCATAACTCTAGAACAATACTGTGACACCCCCAAAATTCATACTTGATCTGTATTTTGTGGTGATAAACATTGTGTATAAGTTTCATAACATTTGATTGAGGCTAACTTAAGTTAGAGAAAGTATATTAAAAATTAAGCATTTTTTTCCATTTGTAAAGGGACATATTTCTAGAAAGGTTAAAGTGACACCACCAAAATTCAAACTTGATCTGTATTTTGTGGTAATAAGCATTGTATATAAGTTTCATAGCATTTAGTAGAGGCAAACTTAAGTTAGAGAACGGAAACAAAAAATTGAGCAATTTTTATACGACCGCAAAAATTGAAAATTTTTTGGTCGTATATTGGTATGACGTTGGCGTCGTCGTCGTCGTCGTCGTCGTCGTCGTCGTCGTCTGGCGTCGTCCGGCGTCGTCCGAAGACACATTGGTTTTCGCACTCTAAATTTAGTTTAAGTGAATGGATCTCCATGAAATTTTACCATAAGGTTCAATACCACGAAAGGAAGGTGGGGATTGATTTTGGGGGTTATGGTACCAACAGTTAAGGAATTAGGGGCCAAAAAGGGGCCAAAAATAAGCATTTTTGTAACTTCCAGACAATAACTTGTGTGTAAGTGTATGGATCTCTCTGACATTGTACCACAAGGTTCCATATCA